ATGCTGCTGTAGTCCTCCAGGTGGGCGCTGCTGCTGTTGAACAGCTTCTGTGCCAGGAACACGAGGTTCTCCTTGGTCAGGCCCCGGTTGCTCTGTACTTCGGCCTTGAATTTCATGTTGAGCGCCTCGCACAGCTGTGGCCACAGCACTTTGTCGGGCACAGCAAATGGCACCCTGCCCTGAGAGCAAGGGAAGCCAGAATTATATGAGAAAACAGCTGCATGATTGATTTCCTTAAGCCACAGAAGAAAAACAATGGTAGCTGGAGGTAGTTACAAACATTTGTGGTGCTACGCTGGAGGACATTCAGACTTCTTGGGATAGGCCTTTCTGAGAGATGCCTTCTTCCCACATCTGGAAAAGGGCCTCATGGGAGGTGTGCCAGTTGGTAAATGACCTGCCCACCCTGCAGTCCAACTCTAGGTTCTAACGCAATCAAAACAAAACCTCCCTCACCTAGGTCCAGCTCTTATGCTATAAACTTAGGAAATTTCAGAAATTGAAAAGACTAGTTTTCTAGGTACAGAAAGAATATGCACATATCGGTCCACATGCTCACATGAACCTGTGTGTGTTCAAATATCTGCCCTTGACACCTTCTGCCAAGAACTCTAGCACCAAGTGAAGCAACTTGGCATGCAAGGGTAGAAATTGGCAACTTTATTGAGAAATAGTTTAGAATATGAACTTTAGGCCAGGCACCAATGGCTCATGCCTGTAATCCTAGCTATTCAGGAGAATGAGATCTGTAGATCTCCATTTGAAGCCAGCTCAGGCAGAAAAGTACATGAGGTTCTTCTTTCTAGTTAACCATCAAAAAACCAGAAGCGGAGCTGTGGCTCAAGTGGAAGAATGTCAGCCTTAAGTAAAAAAGCTGAGGGACAGTGCCCAGACACTGAGTTCAAGCACCAAAGAAAGAATAAAAGAAAATGAAACAATAAGAACCTTCAATAAATTGCTTTTCGGGGGCTGGGAAGGTGGCTCTAGTGGTAGAGCGCTTGCCTTGAATGCATGAGGCCCTGGGTTCGATTCCTCAGCACCACATAAACAAAAAGAAAAAAGCCGGAAGTGATGCTGTGGCTCAAGTGGTAGAGCGCTAGCCTTGAGCTGAAGAGCTGAGGGACAGTGCCCAGACCCAGAGTTCAGGCCCCATGACCGGACCCCCCCCCCAAAAAATTGCTTTTCGTTCCATTTAGCCAGTTAGTCAATACATGTACAAAGGTACAATTAGATAGGACAAATAAATTCTGGGGTTTTATTACACAGCTCGGTGTCTAGCTAACGGTACTATAGTGTATATTAGCTACAAGAGAGGATTTTTCAGTGCTCCCACCACAAAGAAATGACAAATGTTTGAGGCAACAGATTTACTAATAACCCAATTTGACCATAACACAATGTATACATGTATCCTATAACTAGGTACAATTATTGTGTGTCAATTAAAATTTTTTTTAAGTTGGGCACTGGTAGCTCATGACTATAATCCTAGCTACTTGAGAGGTTGAGATCTGAGGATCATGGTACAAAGCCATCCTGGGCAGAAAAGTCCCTGTGAGACTCTTATATCCAATTAACCACTCAAAAACTGGAAGTGGCACTGTGGTTCAAGTGGTACAGCACTACCCTTGAGCACAGAGGAGGCTCAGAGACAGCATCCAAGGTTGTGAGTTCAAGCCCAACAACCAATCAAAAAAATTTTTTAGCCGGGAGCTGGTGGCTCACGCCTATAAATCCTGGCTACTCAGGAGGCTGAGATCTGAGGATCGCAGTTCAAAGCCAGCCTGGGCAGGAGAGACCTTGAGACTCCTATCTCCATTAAACCACCAGGAAACCGGAAGTGGTGCTGTAGCTCAAGTGGTAGAGCTCTCGCCTTGAGCTGAAGAGCTGAGGGACAGCACCCAGGCCCAGAGTTCAAGCCCCACAACCGACAAAAAAAAAAAAAATTAATCCATAATTCTCTTTTATGGCTGCCAAATCTTTTTTTTTTTTTTTCAGTCCTGGGGCCTGAACTCTGGGCTTGGGTGCTGTCCCTCAGCTCTCCAGCTGTAGACTAGCACTCTACCACTTGAGCCTCAGCCCCACTTCTGGCTTTTTTGCTTATGTGATGCTGAAGAATCGAATTGAGGGCCTCATGCATGTAAGCAAGCACTGTACCACTGAGCCACCTTCCCAGCCCCCCTGCCAAATCTTTTATAGTAAAGAAGAACAATAATGTATTTTGCCAAAATCCTAGAAATGGGTATCTATATAACAATCTCTAAGCTTTAACTATGAAAAAACAATACTGCAAGGAATTTATGTCAGTTATACACAGGTACAATTTCCACAGGAATGTATTTATTTGAAAATAACATACCCTAGCCACTAATGTAACTGAACATGTGAAAAATGCTTACTATTTAAACAAAATCCTTTAGTAATTACACACTGCAGGACAGGTCAAGGTTAAACAGGGATCTGTGGGCAACAAGGAAGGAGATCAGAGAGGTTCATGGCAATTTGACCCAGAAGGTTTATCAGGACAAGATGAAGGGAGACATCTGTATTAAAGGTCAAAACTCAGGGCCTGCAGTCCAAGCACAGTAGAGTTTCATAGGAATCTTGCCTTTGTAATGAAATATATCCTCTAAGGAGGACGGTGGGACAATATCGATAATCTCTTATTGTTATAGCCTAATTATCAGGTTTTTATGGTCTGATTTCTATTGGAAACATGTAACCCACCAAGCTGTGCCTTTGAGCTATGCTCACTGAGCAGTATAGTGGTATTCAGGTAGTGTTTGGGGGCATCAAACCTATAAAATTTATATCCGTTCCTGTAGGCAAAGCAACTTAATGTTCAGGAGAGACCTGGGAAAAATCACAGAATCTGAAACTTGGGAACGACACTGGATGTCATCTTTACTATATTGGGAGGAAGATGATATGGATCGACTTCTCAGCTAAACCTCTAGAAGGAAACTCAGGAGTCCCACTCAGGGTACCACAAAGGCACCACAAGAGGGAGTAATATACAGAGGAGATTTATGACAACAGTACCAAGATCTTGAGACCCATAGGCTCAAGGAATCCACTTACGGGCTCTGCGAAAGCATTGTCCCAGAGGACGGTAGCGGTGGCATTGTTGTCCTGGCTTCCATGAACAATCACCACCACTGGGAGTGACAGGGTCTAAAAGACACAGGAGAAGAACTGAGAACCCACAGCCTCAACTTCTCTTCCTCCTTCATCCAGATAAGGGCAACACTTTGGTTCAAGTGTTAGTAAGTGGGACCCTCAGACATAGAATGTGAACAGCCTAAGGAACAGCTAGATGTTTCACTCTAGCATAATCTTAGAAATGTTAGGTATTTTATTATCATCATTATCACTTTGTTTTATTTTATTGCGCTACTGCACTTGCTAGGCAGGTGCTCTACCACTTGAGCCAAATTCTAACCCAATATTATTACTTTTTAAATTTTAATTTAAAATTTTTTTATTTTATTTTTTGGTGGCTGTGGGGCTTAACTCTGGGCCTGGGCACTCTCCCTTAGCTCTTCAGCTCAAGGCTAGCGCTCTATCACTTGAGCCATAGCACCACTTCTAGTTTTCTGGTGGTTTATTGGAGATAAGAGTCTTACACACTTTCCTACCTGCGCTGGCTTTGAACTGTGATCCTCAGATCTCAGCCTCCTGAGTAGCGAGGATTACAGGTGTGAGCCACCTGTGCCTGGCTCTAATTCTTATTTTTATGCTGGCCTTGAAGCTTGAACTCAGAAGCTAGGTGCTACCCCTGAGCCTTTGTAATCAAGGCTAGTGTTCTACCACTTTAGCCACAACTCCATTTCTGGCTTTTTAGTGGTTCATTGGAGATAAAAGTCTCATGGACTTTCCTGCCTGGGTTGGCTTCAAACCAGGATCCTCAGATATCAGTCTCTTGAGTAGCTAGGATTACAGCTATTTGAACCACCAGTACCTGGCCCAATATTGTTACTTTTGAAGCAGGGTCTTCTACAGGCTGGGCTCAAACTCTCATTCCTCCTGCCTCAGTCTCCTGAATGCTGGGATTACAGGTGTGCATCACCATATCTGATTAAAGAAATCTTAGATATTTTATGGGCAGTATTGCTTAGATATTTCTCAAGGATAGAGTAACCTTCTCAAAGTTACAAAAAAAAAAAGAGAGGAGAAACTAAGGACATAGAAATAATAGCAAGGAAGAAATGTTTGAAACATGCACACAACCTTTTCTTAAGTTTATGGGGAGTAATGTTTCCCATGAATCATTTTTTCCTATCTCTCCAGCTATCGTTTATTTATGTATTAAGAGAATCTAGGAGGGACTGGGAATGTGGTTTAGTGGTAGAGTGCTTGCCTAGCATGCATAAAACCCTGGGTTTGATTCCTCAGTACCACATAAACAGAAAAAGCCACAAGAGGCGCTGTGGCTCAAGTGGTAGATTGCTAGCCTTGAGCAAAAGAAGCTTAGGGACAGTGCCCAGGCACTGAATTTAAGCCCCAGTTCTGGCAAAAAGAGAGAGAGAGACAGAGAGACAGAGAAAGACAAAGACAAAGACAGAGAATATATCGAGGGGATAACAGCTCTCAGTACAAGGTATCCTCATTTTCAGTTTAGTAAGATTTTTTAAAAAAGATGGTATATGATCACAATACGTCTTTTGTGACATCAACAGGAGACACACAAACACCAACACAAACATGCACTCAGACACAAAATTGCACACATATACAGGCTGTGGGAGGGCTTTACCTTGACTTGAAAAACCAGCTCGTTTCCGCCAACACTGAACTGTGATTCAAACAGGATTGTGAATTTTTCTTCTGTCACTGACTCTGCCCCACGGCGGTCAGACCTCTTAATTCGTTTCAGGGACTGCAAAGGAGGAAGAACATGAAAAGATGAATCCCACCAACATGGAGGGAGAACTCATTCCTCCTCTCCCATGCTCACCATGTTTCTGAAGTGGGCGCTGAGGGTGCCTGTGGCCTGGTGATATTCCATAACGCAGCAGTTGTTCAAGATCTCACCACTGTAATCACTGTAAGCCAGAGAGAGACCAGCTGCAAACCCATGCAGGTCACAGAACACAGGGGCACAAAACATATTTGGGGTAAGGGGAAATAAAGAAGGCTGCTAAACATGTGGCTCCTTCTGAGGTAAGGTTAATGGCGTCAAAATGAAGCACCAAGTCAGTTCCTTGAATATATCCCTATGAAATTGAAGCTCTTATGCTTATTCTAACATACAGAAGAAGCCAGAAGAAAGAACAGGAACTGAGAGACGAGGCAGAATGACTATTAGATCACTGGGGGAAAGGACAGCCCCCAGGAGAGATGAGCTAGCTGTAGCATACTCACTTGCGCGTGTTCTCGTTCTTGAGCAGGGACTTGGCCTGCTGCTCACTGATGATGGTGGCCTTCACCTGGGGTGGGTTCATGTGCACGTTCAGCTTCCCACCCACCAGCAGGCGCACGGTGGCTGCAAACTTGGTCTGGGTCTTCAGGACCTGAGGAGGTTGCTTCTCGATGATGAACGTGCTGCAGGGGACACAAGTGGCCACAGGATGACCAGGGGCTGGCTCAGGGGAAAGGGCAGGGAGTCTCCTGGAGGGGAGGGGAGGAGCTTCCCATTGGCCTCTGCAGGAGGGAGACACATGGAGCTGTGTCTGTTCCCAGGGTTCCTTCCCCTGTCCTCTTCCCATGGTCAGGGAGGGTAGACTGAGTTTGGGGGCAGCTCCCACCAACAGACTCTGGATGAGGGAATCCCCAAGCAGCCAGAGTAACTAGGGACATCCAGGGTGGGGTGTGGGGAGAGAGCAGGACTGAGGGAGGTCCCTGTCGAGACAGCACCTGGGCCTCCACCGGTCCACCCATGGATCTACCCTGCCCCGGTGGACCTGGCTGTGAGGCAGCAGTCACCTGGTCACCAGGGCTGAGATGATGTCTGTGATGGTGGCGTTGACCTCAGCCAGCATCTCCTCTACCGGCCCGGGGATGGGCAGCTGCTGACAGAGGTGCTCTGCCCTGCGGATCTGCTGCCGGTTCTGCCAGATGATCTCAGCCAACTTCTCACACCTGCAAGACACCCAAGGCCCACGGGGCTTCGACAATGGCTTCTCCTGCGAGTCTCACCAGGGGCTGGGAGACCCACAACAAAGCTCCACCCTGGAAGCTAGACCCAGCCAACAAGGAGCGTTCATTCACCACTCTCCAGTGAGCTGCTGGGAAGCAGAGCTCTGCCTTCTAGAAGTAAAGAACTACACAGGAGGGGCCGTCCTGGCTTTTCAAAACCAGCCTGAGTCACTGCACACCCAAGCCCTTCCCCACTCCCCAAGATAGGACTCATCCTTGAGGGGGAGGTGGCACTGGACAGGGACCAAAGTCTTGCAGGAAGCAGGACCCCCGTGCGCTGCGCTGCCACAGACAGTGGAAGCCTGCTGCTCCGGAGGCAGCAGAGGCAGCTGGCACCCTGCCCTGCCCACCCTGGCGCCTCCCTCAGCCTTACCAGGACTGCAGCACGTCCAGGCTGCCCTCGGGGGGACCCCCATTCCCGGCCAGCTGCTGCCGCCGCTTCCACTGGATCAGCTCATCGTCCAGGATGACTGTCTGCTGCTTCCTCAGCAGCTGCAGGGTCTTCTGGTGCTTCTCAGCCAGCTCCTGGTGGGGGGGAGGGGTGAGGGAGAGGGGACAGCGGCCCCGTTGGCCTCCCATGCTCCAGCCCTGCAGGCCTCGCCCAGCAGCCAGGCCCAGGAGGCTGTTTGCTCTCAGGCCTGACTCTGTCTCACAAGCCCCCCTGGGAAGACAGGCAGGCCTCCTGCTCTCCCGGCTCCTGCTCCCATCCTCTCTCTGGTCCCCAAGGACTCAGGTGGAGGGGCTCCCTCCCGGGAGCCCAGGGTCACAGGCCCCACTCACCACGCGGTACTGCTGTAGGGTCTGTGCCTCGCGCTGCAGCCAGGCCTCCAGGGACACCTGCTTCTGCTGCAGCGCTGTCTCCCGGCTCAGGCGCTCCTGGGGATTCAGCTGGGCCAGCTGGGCAAACTGAGCTAGAGGATGGACAGGACACCCACCACCATCATCTCCCGGTGCTGGGCGCAAGCCCCCAGGATGTGCACTCATCTGTTCTGGAGCGACCCTCAGGGTCACCCATCTGTGGCAAGCGGCGTCTCCCAGCAACCAGAGCCCAAAGATGAAGGGCTCCTGAGATGGCAGCCTCGGGGCCCTGCCACCATCCCTGCTACCCTCTGGGCAGTGGACACACGAGGCTGAGAGGAATCTGACCCACACAGCACAGCCTGGTGCCAAATGACCAAGGTACAAGTGTGCCTGCCATTTAAGAGCTGGGGGAATTCAAGGAAACCCCTCTTTCCTGGACCTCACTGCCCCCATGTGTGAAGTTGGGGAATCCGGGCACCTCTCCCCCATCCCCTCCCCAACAGTGTCTTGAGCACTGCGACCATTGCTCCTCCCCACAGCCTTCAAGCAGCCCAGGCAGCCTCACTCAGAGAATCAAGACCAACCATGTGTGTCCTGACACGTCTCTCTGGAGTGCCTGGCTGGCCTCTGGGTACCATGTCACACTGACCCCAGTCTCATGCCCCAGGCACGGAGGAAAGCAATGCTAGACAGACAGGAAGAGCCCAGAACTGTGGCTCAGAAATGCAGCTCCCATGTCCCTGAGTAGCTGGAGTCTTGTTCAGACTCAGAACACAGCAGGCAATCCTCACAGTGCCCTCTGCGATCCTGCCCTTGTCCCCTCCTCAGGGAGTGAGTGGCCAGCCCAACCCCTGAGCCCAGCCTCCCATGCACATGACCCTCTTAGGTCTCAACTGGCCATCTGCAGGCAATATGGGAAGGAGGCCAGGGCAGCCCAGAGTCACCACTGGTCGAGCATGCCCTGCCCTTGTACAAACAGATCCATAGTCTGTGTTTTGTTGGGCTTGTTTCCAGTGCTGGGGATGGCCCCATGATTCTTGTGCATGCCAGGCAAGTGCGCTGCCACTGAGCCACATCCCCAGCCCTGGTCCATGTTTGTAATTGTGAGCTGGACAAAGGGGACAGACTGACAGCACACACGTGTTGTATGCCAATCCCAGCCAGAATCCAAACCCAAACCCACCCAGGTAACAAAAATCCTATGTCCAAGATCATAAACCCTGTCACTGTCAATGCTGAAATTTCCTGTTCCCAGTGCAGGAAAAGGCTGTCCTTTCAGATGGAAGATGCTAGAACCATCCTGTCAACACTGGTTCAACATTTGCCTTGTGTCAGTTACTGTGCTGTGCCTCGGGGGATAGTGATAAAAGACATAGCTCCTTCTCAAAGATTTCTCATCTGGGAAGACCAGATCTCAATAAATACTATTGATAGAGCTCTGTGATCAAGCTCACACAGGCTCTTGGAAGACACACACTATGGGCATACAAGGCTGCAGGGAGGCTGGTGATCTAGGGCTCCTCTGAGATTCTGAGTTGGGCTTGTGAGCTTGGAAAAGAAATTTAAAATCAAACTGACAGCCTTCTACAATGTCAAGAGGGGGCGCTGGAGGGCTCAACATCCTCACCATAGGTCCTGAAGTTCTGTGTCCCAGTAAGCAAGCAGTTGTGTAACAGGCTTGGGAGCTTTGTCTACAATGACTGACTGAGTTTCATGAGTGTACACAGTCACAGATGATGTCTCCAACAACTACACAGAACATTAAACAACAGTTACAGCAAACATAGCCTCCTGGCCTTTATAACACCCCTTCTTTAAAAGCCTTAATTTTTTTTCAATGCTGGGAATCAAATCCAAGGCCTTTGGCATGTTAGCAAGTGTTATTTCTTTTTGTTGTTGTTTTTTGTGTTTGTCCTGGGGCTTGAACTCAGGGTCTGGGCACTGTCCCAGAGCTTTTTGCTCAAGGCTAGTGCTCTACCACTTAAGCCACAATTCTACTTCTAGCCTGTTTTAGAGTAATTAATTGGAGATAGTAGTTAATTGGAGTCTGATGAACTTTCTTGTCCAGACTGGCTTTGAACCTTGATCCTCAGATCTCAGACTCCTGAATAGCTAATATTATAGGCATGAGCCACTGACACCAGGCTACATGTGATTTTTTAAAAAAATTTTACTGCTACTAGCTAGAGCTTGAACTCGGTGCCTTAGACTCATTCATTCACCGCTGGTGCTCTACCATCTGAGCCATGCCTCTATTGCTGGCTTTATCATGCTTAATTGGAAATAAAGAGTCCTTTGGATTTGTCTGCCTAGGCTGGCTGCAAACCTCAATCCTCAAATCTCAGCTTCTTGAGTAGCTAGGATTATAGGTGTGAGCCAACCAACTAAATGTGTGATTTTATATTTCCTACTTAACACTGCAGTAAGGCTGCATTTATAAAAATACTCACTGTATACAAACACTATGTCTCATGCTGTTTAAGTTGTGGCTTCTTCCCCCAAAACAGGAATTTTCTTTCCCAGCCAGTCCGTCCCAGCACTGTCTTCAATGCCAACGACAGGAGCAGTCTCCTAGTCCTCTCTCTGACCCGGACACATGGCTCTCTCGCCTGGCCTCACCTTGGATCCTCAGGCTCTCCTGGTACTGGATGATGAAGTACTCTTGGGTCTGCTGCAGCTTCTTCAGCTCGTTCTCTGTGTCCTGCGTGACCAGTCGCAGCTCCTCAAAGGTCTGGTTGATCTGAAGGTGCTTCTGAGACATGGCATCAGCAAGACTTCCAGCTGGAGAGTTGCCCTGGGGAGGGGGCCAGGGGAAAGTCAGGGCAGCAGCGTGGGAGTGAGCCTTTGGACTTAATGCCCAGAAAAAGCCAGTGCCAGTCTTACTTTGGGCTAAGACCCTAAAAGCCAAGTTTGGGGTGATTAAACACTATTTGTGAGATCCAGGATGGGAAAGGAAAACAGAAGCAGGAGTTCATATAGAACAGAGCCCCTACAGATTGGAAACTTCTGTTTCAGAACCAGCTACCACCCGAGTACGCCCAACATGGTCCAATTTCCTCAACGTGTCCCAGCTGTCACCTGGTCTTCTTTCCAATATTGATGAGCCACATTCCATATCTGTTCACTGACCCAGAGCCGTTCACTGTGCTCATGATAGGGACACATGGGGAAACACCATCTGTGTCCTCACTCAAGACCATCTTGCAGTAAAATAACTTGCTTCTACCATGGAGGAAACCAGACTTCTCATGGGCATCCACAGGCTGCCAACTGAAGTCATGAGGTGGGCATATACAGGGCCCATGTGGATCCAGCCATTTAAGTGACCTGGCTCAAAGAGTATGAAGAACTCTTCCCTATGCCATCATACCTGCATGGCATAAGTTAAAACCAAATCTCTAAAGAGATACCAATAGGTGCACCCCAAGTTAGCTTGACAGGGCTGATCTAGAGAGAGGAGTAAGGAAAGGCTCCCAGAGTCCTCTCCCCAGACCCAGGGACACTCACATTGTTGGCTTCTCGGACTAGCCTCTGTTCGTTGTACAGAATGTGCCGGATGCAGCGGACCAGTTCCATGGGGCAGCGATCATACGTGTTCTGAAAGAATGTAAGAGCAGAGCTCACTTCCTTCTATGCCACACCATGAGCACTGCCTTGCCTCAGCTCAGGGAATGCCCATGGGGCAAAGAGGGTAGATTCATGGGTAGCATGCAACTTTAATAGGAACAAGAAAAGTGCAATATAGAAAAATCCAATTATAGTAAAATTAGTTCTTGCATTTTAATGTGCCTCAAGTCTTCAGCAATGTTCTTAGAAATGAGATAAATAATTTTTTTAAGGCTGCACCAGATGAGAAACAGGAAACCAAAAACTTTTTGACTGAACAATAAAAATTACTATCACCAAGAGAGGAGGACGGGTGCCATGTATACTTGGACAGGACGCCCCGAAGGGGTCACTTAGTTAGAATTCTGCCTGGGATGCGCAATGTTCCTCCAAATGAGTAACACTATACCACTGAAAGGTAGGGGGTAGACTGAAAATGGTGATATGTGCCTGTCGTCCCAGCTACTTGGGAGGTTGAGGCAGGGGATTGCTTGAACCCAGAAGTGGAGGCCAGTCTGGGCAACATAGAACATCTCATCTTAAAAAAAATAAAAAGGAGGGCTGGGAAGGTGGCTCAGTGGTAGAGCGCTTGCCTTGCATGCCTGAGGCCCTGGGTTCGATTCCTCAGCACCATGTAAGCAAAAAGAAAAAAGCTGGAAGTGGCGCTGTGGCTCAAGTGGTAGAGCGCTAGCCTTAAGCTGAAGAGCTGAGGGACAGCGCCCAGGCCCAGAGTTCAGGCCCCACAACCGGACCCAAAAAAATAAATAAATAAAACCCTTAGTTCAAATTCTAGTACCATTCCTTCCCAAAATGCATTTAAGAAAAAATAAAAAACATGCATTATTATTGGGGCTGGGAAGATGGCTCAGTGGTAGAGCGCTTGCCTTGCATGTGTGAGGCCCTGGGTTCGATTCCTCAGCACCACATAAGCAAAAAGAAAAAAGCTGGAAGTGGTGTTGTGGCTCAAGTGGTAGAGTGCTAGCCTTGAGCTGAAGAGCTGAGGGACAGGGCTCAGGCCCAGAGTGTAGGCCCCACGACCGGACCCAAAACACAAACAAACAAAAAAACACCAAAATGTTTTCTGATTAATACAAATTACAAAGACTCAATAACTAGATGCAATATGCATATGCAGGAATTATTTGTATCTTCGTTTTCCCTTTTTGTTTCATAGTCTTGCTATGTAATTCAGATTTGGGATCTACTTGCCTCAGCTTCCCACATGCTGGAATCACAGGCATGCGCCACCACACCTCGCTTGATATTCTTGGTATTATTCTTGCAACTTTCTCTAAGTTTGAAATTATTTCAAACAAGAGTTTTGTTTAAGCTGCTAATGAAAAACCAAAACAACTAGAACCTGGGATGTGCATACAACTCATTAGTAACATGTAACTCCACAATGCTGGGTTAAAGGGGAGAACGGAGTCTCTACAGGAAGTACTCAGTGAAGGAGGAGAAAGCCTTCCTAGGGAGGGTTAAGTATGACCCAGCCTTCACACCCACCTTCAGCTGTGTGGCATAGTGTCCCAGCTTGATCTTCAGCAAAAACCCATCTTCCCCCACCTGGTGCTCCGCCTTCTTCTGCAGCTCCTGCACCAGGCCCTCCAGGAGCTGGGTGGCCTTAATGTTCTCCTGTGGATTATCAAGATCTATTGAGTCCCTAGGGGAAAAAAATTACATAATCTGTACACATACATGCACATGGGCCTGCACAAATGCAGTCTGCATCTCTTTCTTTCTAGTTGCTGGTGTTCAAACCCAAGTCTCATGCATGCTAGGCAAACACCCTACAATTGAGCCATATCCCCAGTCCAAAAATGCTTGTGTGTATATGTGTGTGTGTTCCAGTACTGGGGCTTGAACTCAGAGCCTGGGCACTGTCCCTTAGCTGGTGTTCTTTTGTTTTGTTTTTGGGTTGGTTGTGGGGGTTAACTCGAGGCCCGAGAGCTGTCCCTGAGCTCTTTTTGCTCAAAGATAGCATTCTACTACTTTGCGCCACAGTGCCCTTTCTGGTTTTCTAGTGGTTAATTGGAGATAAGAGTCTCACAGATGTTCCTGCCTGGGCAGGCTTTGAACTGTGATCCTCAGATCTCGACCTCCTGAGTGGCTCGGTGTGAGCCACTGACGCCTGGCTTTTATTTTTTTTTTAAGATCTGAGACCAGGACTTGGGAATCTATACTTGCTGACTTTGCTCATTGGCACCTCCAACCCCTCCTTGGCTGGTGTTTTTACCACTTGAGCCACAGTGCTACTTCCAGCTTTTTGGTTGTTCATTGTAGATAAGAGTCTCATGGGCTTTCCTTCCCGTGGTTTGCTTCAAACTGCAATCCTCAGATCTCAGCCTCTTGGGTAGCTAGTAATATAGGCCTGAGCTATCAGTGCCCAGCAAAAGTGATTTCTTGTTTTTTCTTTCTAAGACATGGTCTGCCTATGTTGCCCAGGCTGGTCTCAAACTCACAAAGCTCCTGCATCTACCTCCTCAGTGCTATGCCCAACAAGGCACATGATTTCTCCTTCATGCTCATTGCAAACATTTTGAGATAGCTCAACACAAATTCACAAGATATCTACATTATTTGTAATCTCTTAGATTCCCTAGTTGGATTGTATAGTTTATTTTCATATCTCTCTTTTCTGTTTTGTTTTAAACCATGCACTCTCCCTTCTCCTTCCTGTTCCAGCTGGCTTTGAGCTAACACTCCTAGAAATGAAGGGAAGAGAGTGTGCTTTGTGGATGCTCAAGGAAATAAGGCCTCTGATAATTTCTCATTCATGATTATTTTTCAAGGGTGTGAAGGGAGCACAAGGTCAAGACTGCTCTACATGTCCTTTCCAGCCTCACCCAGTCTCAAGCATGCTTTTGTTGCTAATCTCACAAGAAGTACTTTGTAAGTAGAGACAGGTGAAGCAATAGTGACCTCTCTAAGCCCTGAGAATGAGACATCAAGGCAGAAGGTGCCTATGAGCATTGACACAGGTGAGGTGCTTATATGCCATTAGTTGCCACTCTGGGACAGGAGGCAATGTTAACTTTTCTACTGAACAAGTGAAACCAGTCTACAAATCTTTTTTTTTTTCAGTCTACAGATCTTATTAAAGACATTCAACTGGTGACTGGATTGGATCACCTATCTCCCTATCTTTCTTTTCCCTTTCTTTCGTCCCACAACGTAGGCAATACATTACTACTGAGCAATAGTGAATTACTTAGCATACTGAAGAAACTAAACAGCTGTCAGACTGAAATAACATCCAATTACTACTGACTGGGTCTGGAGCCAAACAAGAGATCTACTAGCTAAAAGGCTGTCATCTCCAAATCTCTGAAGTTAGTAACTAGTTTCAACCAGAGGCACAAACAGGTGCACTAACATACTGAGACTGTACATTGTATGCAAATCTGTGCTTGGAGAAGGCAGGGGAGAATGCTAAAATTCAAATATGCATGTTTTAAGTTTTAAATAAAATACATATTAAACAAAAGCCTAAAAGGGCTTTTTGCTGTCTGGGGAACTCATTCCTAAGATGGTCCAGTCTCTGAGCAGAATTCACTGAAGTCTAGTTCTTAACTTGAAAACTTAATTCCTGTTGAAGAAAGAGATTGCATAGACAGCTTCAACAAGAAATTGATTTCTCATTAAGAAAAATAAAAATTCAGTCGAGTGCTGGTGGCTCACGCCTGTAATCCTAGCTACTCAGGAGGCTGAGATCTGAGGATCGTGGTTCAAAGTCAGCCTGGGCAAGAAAAGCGGTGAAACTCTTTTTTTTTTTTTTTTGTCAGTCTTGGGGCTTGAACTCTGGGCCTGGGCGCTGTCCCTCAGCTCTTCAGCTCAAGGCGAGCGCTCTACCACTTGAGCTACAGCGCCACTTCTGGTTTTCTGGTTGTTTATTGGAGATAGGAATCTCACGGTCTCTCCTGCCCGGGCTGGCTTTGAACCGAGATCCTCAGATCTCAGCCTCCTGAGTAGCTAGGATTACAGGCGTGAGCCACCAGCGCCGGGCTTAGCGGTGAAACTCTTATCTCCAATAAACCACCAGAAAACCGGAAGTGGTGCTGTGGCTCAAGTGGTAGAGTGCTAGCCTTAAGCAGAAGAGCTGAGGGACAGCGTCCAGGCCCAGAGTTCAAGCTCCACGAATGACAAAAGAAAAAAAAAAAAGAAGAAGAAAAGAAAAATCAAAACTGCCTAAAAGCTAGGTTTTCTTTTTCTTCTTTTTTTTTGGTCAAACGTGCGGCTTGAACTCTGAGCCTGGGTACTGTCCCTCAGTTCTTCAGCTTAAGGCTAGCACTCTACCACTTGAGCCATAGCACTACTTCTGGCTTTTTCTGCTTATGTGGTGCTGAGGAATCAAACCCAGCGCCTCATGCATGCAAGGCAAGCACTCTACCACTGAGCCACCTTCCAGCCCCTAAAATGTAAGTTTTCATTAATAACAATACAAGGCCTTTTTTTTGTTTGTTTGTTTGCTTTTTGTTGGTCGTGGGGCTTGAACTCTGGGCCTGGGCACTGTCCCTCAGCTCTTCAGCTCAAGGTTTGTGCTCTACCACTTGAGCCACAGAGCACTTCCAGGTGAGGAATTGAACCCAGGGCCTCACACATGGGAGGCAAGCACTCTACCACTGAGACACCTTCCCAGCTCCACAAGTCCTTTTTAACACTCATTCAGTAAGAAATTGATAAGGGAAAGAATATCTAAATGAAGTGTTTTAGAGACAGGATCATGCTATTTTGCCCAGGATAGTCTTGAATTTCTGGGCCTAAGAGATCTTCCTGCCTCAGCCTCCTGATTAGCTGGGACTACAAGCATGTATCATAATCCCCAACTAAATAAGTATTTGTTGTTATTCTTTTGGGGGATTTTTGTTTATTTGGTGCTGGGGGATCAAACCCAGGTCCTCGTGTAGTCTGGACAAATACTCAACTACTGTCCTTAAATGAAATTTTCAATCAACAGAAACTTCCTGCTAATGTTTTCCTAAATCATCCAAACCATTAAACCGAAAAGAAAATGAAAAGGGAACGGAAAAGCACTAAAAAAGATATACTTGACATTCTCAACTTTCAATGGTTTTTTTCTTCATTTAATTAAGTGAAATTGGGATTTTTCTGTTTTCTTTTCTTTTTGTTTTTGGATTGGTCATGGGGCTTGAACCCAGGGCCCAGGCACTGTCCCTGAGTTATTTTGCTCAAGGCTAGTGCTCTACCACTTGGATCCACAGCCTCACTTCCAGTTTTCTGTGATTATTTGGGGATAAGAGTCTCACTGACTTTCCTGCCAGGACTGGCTTTCAACCACAATCTCTAGATCTCAACCTCCTGAGTAGCTAGGATTACCAAGTGAAAGCCACCAGTGCCTGGCAGGACTGCTTTATTTGCAGTTTTTTTTTGTCAGTCGTGAGGCCTGAACTCTGGGCCTGGGCGCTGTCCCTCAGCTCTTCAGCTCAAGGCAAGCGCTCTACCACTTGAGCTACAGCGCCACTTCCAGTTTTCTGGTGGTTTACTGGAGATAGGAGTCTCACGGTCTCTCCTGCCCGGGCTGGCTTTGAACCGAGATCCTCAGATCTCAGCCTCCTGAGTAGCTAGGATTATAGGCGTGAGCCACCAGCGCCCGGCTTATTTGCAGTTTTTTTAATTGTGATGAGGTGATTACATAAGCTCACAAATTTCACAGTATTGTAGGTAGTGATGCTTAGTTAAAGTCGCAAACATATTCTAACCGTCATGGGGCAAATTGTTTATGGTGGTCTATAAAGTTTATGAGTTCTATGGGCTTTGACTATACAGTTATTTCTTCCACATTGGGTGATATGTACATTCCTTTCCTTTTGCATAGTGTCAGTTGTTCCCTCTTTCCCTCTCAGGATTGCTTTTTAATTGCCTAGTAAATTGTGTTCTTTTGGCACCTTGCTGGTTTCTGAACAAAATCTGCTAACAAGCAATTGCAATTATTCCAAAGCAACCTCACTGATGATGGGGATACAGCCCTCTTCACACAATAGCCTCAAGGCTGGCTTCTCCTGGGATGGTCAAGGAGGATCCCTAATTACTACAGTAGAAACCTGGCATATCTAATGAATAGATCAGATTGACAGTCTGGAAACAGCCAGCAAGCTCCCAGGCCCCAAGCAAAGCTGAGGACAACCTGCTTCTTGTGTATAAAAATGTAAAATAACGTTGTCTGTATAATAATGTTATCAGTTTAGACACTAAAGAGCCAGAGGTGTAACTCAGTGGCTATGGAGCTACTAAAATATTTAATTTTAATTATTTTATAGGATGAAAGCTTATTAATAAATGCAAAATATTTTACCCAGGTTATAATTAAATCAGACAAATATTCATACCTCATCTGTTCTATTACATGTTGTTTTTTTTGAGCTGGTCATAGGGCTTGAAATCAGTGGTATCTCTGAGCTTTTTCGCTCAATGGTAGCACTCTACCACTTTGAGCCATAGTGCTACTTCCAGTTTTCTAGTGGTTAATTGGAAATAAGAGTCTCATGGACTTTCCTACCCAGACTGGCTTTGAACTTCAATCCTCAGATCTCAGCCTCCTGAGTAGCGGGGATTATAGGTGCAAGCCATAAGCTCATGGCCAGAGCTTTAACTTTCATCACCAACAAAATGTTGTCCCTCTACAACAATGCTTGCCTGGCATCCTGTAGGCATTCAAAACATAGTTGTTGACTCCTGTTTAATACCTTTAGCCAGTATTTACTATTAACAAAATCTGCTTTTAAAAGTCCCAAGAGTTAAGGAGATGGATGAGATTGGCAGAGATGGGGCAGAATGATGGAAGGGGTGGGACTGGCCAAGCAAGATACATTGTTCTCATAAACTGATATGTTAGACTGAAACTCCTTTCTACAGCTACTTAAATATAATAATACAAAGAAAAAAAAGCCCAAGGGTTATTTTATCCCCCTCAATGTAAGACAGAGTTAAATACCTTGTCCTGGATCATATAAAACACATGGCTTTTCAGGTCTTCATCACAACATCTTTCTAATCAAGTTCATTATTCTCGTGCTTTACATAATGGATATAAAAGCTTTGTTCACCTACCAGGCCTGGCTTTCAATCCACTGGGATAAATAATGCCGCACCTCGATGGGGAAGTGCTGGCCATACAAGGCTTGCATCTGATGAAGGGCATCTCCTTGCAGCTGCTGAGCTTGTATCCACATGGCCATTGTTCACAATCTGGTAGGTAAACAAACAACCATGCTTTGAATATCTTTTCTTTTTTTGTTTTTAAACTATCCCCCCCCCACCAACCCATTAAAGTAAACATTCACAGTTTAAAAGTAAACAATAAGCTGGGCACTGGTGGCTTGCACCTATAATCCTAGCTATGCAGGAGGCTGAGATCTAAGGATCAAGGTTCAAAGCCAGCCTGTGCAGAAAAGTCCACAAGACTCTTATCACTAATTAACCACCAAAAAGCTGGACATGGAGCTGTGGCTCAAGTGGTAGAGCACTAGCCTTGAATGAAAAAGCCAAGCAAGAATATGAAGTCCTGAGTTCAAGCCCCAGTACTGGCACATACTCATACATACACATACACACACATACATATATATACACACACAGAGATATAAATGATGTTATTCCTTTGGACAAACTAAAGATTAGTATTCTTTTTTGCCAGTCCTGGGGCTTGAACTCAGTCAGGGCCTAGACGCTGTCCCCAAGCTTCTTTTGCTCAAGGCTAGTAGTACTCTACCACTTAAGCCACAGTACCACTTCCACTTCCAGCTTTTTCTGTTTATTCATGCATGCTAGGCAAGCACTCTACCACTAAGCCACATTCCCAGCCAAGATTAATATTCTTGAGCTGAGCTTTAGCCTTAAAATGTTTTCAAAATACAGACAACTCAGTGTGGCTATGGCAAAGTACCCAATTTGGTCTGTGACTATAACTAATATGAAGGTCCAATAAGCAAAAGTACAAAACCAGGTGTGGGAAAGAACCACCAATAGTTTTCATTAAATAATCCACAGAGATTTTTAATTTTTTTCTTTTTTTTGCCAGTCATGGGCCCTGAACTCTGAGCCTGGGCGCTGTCCCTCAGTTCTTCCAGCTTAAGGCTAGCACTCAAGCACTTGAGCCACAGTACCACTTCTGGCTTTTTCTGCTTATGTGGTGCTAAGGAATCAAACCTAGGGCCTCATGCATGCAAGGCAAGCACTCTAGCACTGAGCCACTTTCCCAGCCCCCAGAGAATTTTTTGTTGTTGTTGGTTGTGGGGCTTGAACTCTGGGCCTGGGCGCTGTCCCTCAGCTCTTCAGCTCAAGGCTAGCGCTCTACCATTTGAGCCACAGCACCACTTCCAGTTTTCTAGTGGTTTATTGGAGGTAAGAGTCTCATGAACTTTCCTTGCCTAGGCTGGCTTTGAACCGTGATCCTCAGATCTCAGCCTCCTGAGTAGCTAGGATTACAGACATGAGCCACTGGCGCCTGGCTCCACAGAGAAATTTTTAAAGAGAAATCTTGGATTGATATTTTGGTCAGAAGAAATATAAGCGATACACTGCCAGTTTGGAAAAAAAAGAAAGAGTGCAGTTAAGAAAAAGTGTACTATGTAGTGAATTACCACTAGTTACCTACGTAGCAATGCTTCCTCACAGAGAACACAGACCTATCTGGTAAAATACTCAAGGTTAAACCTCCAGAGGTACTGTTACATTATAGCCTGCAACAATCTTTCAGACACAAAAACAATACATCATAAATAAATTTTAAAAAAATGAACCATTGTACTCTGATAGTGAGTATGCAGTTTTATTATTATTATTTAAATATGATCTTGGCTTCAGAAAAATGGTTTATTAAACTACCAAGATGCTTCCTCAGACTTATCAGAGAAGTTTTGTTTTTTTTTTTTGGGTCCAGCCGTGGGGCCTGAACTCTGGGCCTGGGCGCTGTCCCTCAGCTCTTCAGCTCAAGGCTAGCGCTCTACCACTTGAGCCACAGCACCACTTCCGGCCTTTTCTCTTTTTGCTTATGTGGTGCTGAGGAATCGAACCCAGGGCCTCATGCATGCAAGGCAAGCACTCTACCACTGAGCCACCTTCCCAGCCCCTTATCAGAGACGTTTTAACACATTCACAGCAGAGCCTCTACGATTAACAGATTGGGGTTAAGTAGTAGCAATATTACTTTATACATCGAAGGACATTAAATCCAAATCTTGCTCTGTTTTCCATAGAAGTGGGGTTTGGGATAAGGTCAGACTATCCTGAATCCCATCCACAATGACATGGTTACTGATCTGCACCATTCTCCTAAGAATGACGTTATGGTTACAGTCCAGTGAATTGGACCTGGATTTTGTTGACTGGAGACTGCATATGCATGTGAATGAGGAAATAAAAATCCCTCTTCTGCTTAGTTGAAGCCATCAGATCATGAGCTATTTATGGGAGCAGTCAGTTAGCCAACAATGAGGTATGGTATGAGTGCCAGTTACCTCTTTTAGACTTGTGTGATACTATAGAACACTTGAACAGTGTCCAATTTTATTTAGGGCTTTTAGGCTTTAGGGCTGGGATCATTGGAAGATCATATGAGACATCAGATTCAATGGCTATGAGTTTACCAGAAGAAACACTGGGACTAAAAAGCTCTCTCCAGAAGCAAGTTCACTTGATAATCAAACATCCAGAAGACACTTTGTAATTAAAATGAGTCCAATCTCAAGTCCAAGCTCAAGAATATACACCAGATTTTGCTTTATGAACAAAAAAAGGAAAGAAAGAAGAAAGAAATGGATGGAAGGAGGGAAGGAAGGAGGGAGAGAAGGAGGGAAAGAGAAAAGAAGGAAGAAAGGAAAGAAGGAAGGAGGGAAGGACACAGGAATGGAGCGATGAGGTACTTAGATACTTAAGTATACGGACATATGATACAGGACTGAAGACCGGAGTTGGGGTACCCATCTCCCTTGATAAAGGATAAGGAAGCAGCAGGACCTCACCATAGCTCCCTTAAAGAATGTGTAAATGATACCAGAAGATATAAGATCTCTTGTATTTGAATTCACCAGCTGAACTGACCCAAGGAATAAAAGAGGAAAGCAGTAGAAAAACTCAGAGACGGGGCTGGGAAGTTGGCTCAGTGGTAGAGCGCTTGCCTTGCATGCCTGAGGCCCTGGGTTCGATTCCTCAGCACCATATAAGCAAAAAGAAAAAAAAAGCCGGAAGTGGTGCTGTGGCTCAAGTGGTAGAGCGCTAGCCTTGAGCTGAAGAGCTGAGGGACAGCACTCAGGCCCAGAGTTCAGGCCTCACAAACAGACCAAAGAAAAACTCAGAGACCATCGAACCCAAATAAAGTAATTCGATAGTTATTCTCTATTCTTTTCTTGTCTCTTTTTCTTCTTCTCACTGATAACTTTCTGACATATATCTATTTACTGACTTTACTGGGGTAAAGTCACCATGTGGACAGTGACTTTCTTTTGTTCTCTTGGGCGTACAACACTGCTGGACATATAAGCATTGTCTTTTGGTTGTTGTATGAATATATACACATGCTGCAGTTAATCTATCAGCTTTTTTTTTTTTTCTGAAACAGTGTTTCACTATGTAGCTCAGCCTGGCCTTGAACTCACCAACCCCAATCTCCCAATTGCTGGGCTTACAACTTTTCCAAAGTTTTCAAGGTCTGATGGAACATGACATCATTTTGAAATGCAAAGGCATGAAAATGGTGGGGATCCTAATTCAGCTGCTCAACTACCTTTTATAATTTAAATGAGTCTATTTTGATAATGGTCTATTTGTCCCTTGATAAGATATGCCATAATATATCATTTATCCCTTTAGTTTTTGTAATTGCACTTAAAAGGGCACATCTTTTTTTGTTGGTGGTGGTGGTCACAGGTCTTGAACTCAGGGCATGGGCGCTGTTCCTTGAGCTTTTTCACTCAAGGTTGGCACTCTACCATATCGAGTCCCAAGAGCCACTTTTGGTGGTTGAATGGAGATAAAAGTTTCACAGACTTTCCTGCCCAGGCTGGCTTTGAGCTGTGATCCTCAAGATCTCAATCTCTTGAGCAGCAAGGACTACAGGTGTGAGACACTGGAGCCAACAGGAGAGCACATCTTATTTACTCCCTTGTCCCTAGTACTCAGTAAAGTAGTCCTTAAATATTTGCTGAGTCAATAAACACATAAATAAATATCTCATATGTCCTGTTGGCCAAGCGTATTACTAGAGTCTATTACTGTTTTAAGAGACAAATATCATAGCAATATGCCATGCACATAAAAATACTAAATAAATGTAACACTTTTTTTGGTGTCTGAGGATTACACTTAGAGCCTGGGTGTTATCTTCATGTTTTTTTGCTCAAGGTTGGCACTCTACCACTTGAGCCACAGTTCCATTTTAAGGTTTTGGTAGCTAACTGGAGGTAAGAATCTTTTGGATTTTCTTGCCTGGGATGGCTTTAAGCCAGTATCTTCAGATTTCAGTTTCTTTCTTTTTTTTTTTTTTGGGTCGAGTCATGGGGCCTGAACTCTGGGCCTGGGCACTGCCCCTCAGCTCTTCAGCTCAAGGCTAGCGCTCTACCACTGGAGCCACAGCACCACTTCTGGCTTTTTCTGCGTATGTGGTGCTGAGGAATCGAACCCAGGGCCTCGTGCATGCAAGGCAAGCACTCTACTGTTGAGCCACCTTCCCAGCCCCAGATTTCAATTTCTTGATTAGCTAGGATTATAGGCATGAATCACCAGCACTCATCTCTTTTATTATATTTTAAAAAATAAGGTCTTACTGTGTAGCTCAGGCTTTCCTCAAACTCATCATCTTCCTGCTTCAGCTTCTAAAATCACTGGGATTACAGGCATGTCCTACCACACCTGGCCTGTCACACTATTTAAGTTTTGTTTTGTTGGTCATGGGTCTTGAACTCTGAGCCTGCACGCTGTGTTCCTCAGCTCTTCAGCTCAAAGCTAGTGCTCTATCACTTGAGCCACAGCGCCACTTCCAGTTTTCTGGTGGTTTATTGGAGATAAGAGTCTCACAGGCTTTTCTGCCCAGGCTGGCTTTGAACCATGATTCTTAGATGTCAGCTTCCTAAATACTAGGTTTACAGGTGTGAGCCACCGGCACCTGGCATATAATATGTTTTATATTAATTGTTAGTTTGTATCCAAGAGTAGAATGCTCTCAGAACTGGTCAGAATATTTCTTCTGATTCTA